GACACCAGCTCTGCTGAACAGACAGCACTGCTAGTGTAAGCAAGCGACAGAAAACGGCTACAAGGCGGTACGATCCAAATTATTTACTTACACCGGGACGGAGGGAGAGCCGAGAGCCGAGAGCCGAGAGTGTGTCGTGTGCCGTGAGATTCTCAGCAACGAGAGCATGAAGCCAGCACATCTGAGGCGGCACTTTACCACGCTCTTGAAGGATAAGTGTGCTGATTTTTTCAAAGGAAACAAAGTTCTGAAGCAGCGCAAGTCCACCATAAGGACCAGTGTCACTCCAGTGCTATTGTTATGATATGTGTGTGTGGGTGTGTGTGCGCGTTCACTCATGCTGGCCATTGAGATTTTGCAGGTGGTACTTGGATGCTTTGGTTCGATCAGGGGTGGTACTTGGTCCAAGTGGTTCGAGAACCACTGACTTAAAGCAAAGGAGCTCTTGAGCTCCTGTGTGTTTTATACGGGTAGAATCAAAAATAGTTCTTCACAGAGCCCTAAAGGCACATAATAAATATTCAAAACGCTCATTAGAAGTTGTTGTGAGTGAGAGCAATTCTGTCAAAGCTCTGTATTGCACTAAGCAAACCCAAAGCTGAAGGAAAATGATTAGGATCAAGCAGTACTGTACTTCTCAGTTTCTGGAAGGAAAGCTTGACTTTCACCATGAAGCAAATATTTTATCACTGCTTTCATTGCCAAACCAAGGTGCAGCAGTGGTTAGGGAATTGGAATTGCATTCAGAGGGATGTAGGATCAAATCTCAGTATAGTCATTCCCTGAGGCAAAGGGCTCTTCACTTCAGTAAAATGTCTTAATGGTGTAAATTAGTATAAATGCTAAGTCACAAAGTGTCTATCAAATACATTAATATCACAAAATAGATAGTCATAAATAGATAGACATAGTAATAATGTCATAACAGGAAACCACATTCTTCTAAAATGCTAAAAATGACTAAAATAAAGAGCAAAAAGGGTTTTAAGGCTTGAAGAATAAACTCTTAAGCATGGCTTACTCTGGAGTTTTATTCCATTAGCAAGAGAGGAAAACCATTGCAGAATGCATTTTCATACCACAACAACCCTTTCGTGACTCATTTTCTTTTCATTTTCAAGCAGCAGTGGTTCAGTGTATTCAGCAACTGAAACTGACCGTGCAGAAGAGAAAAAGGTATATATTACATCTACAACTCCACTGAACTTTCCATTTTAACAGCAGCTCATTATTTTCCCCGCCAGGGGGCAGCAGATGCTACCAGAAAAGACCGTCGACGTCTCAGAGGCAACAGAGTAACAGAACAAGTAATAGGTTTATTCCATATCACCCGAAGAAGGCTCCACAGCCGAAATGTTGGGTTTTCTTTCTTCTCTTTTCAGAAGAGAACTACTGCAATATAGTAATATACATGGGCTTGAGGCAATGTTTGTGTTCCAAACAGCTCTTTTACAGAGCTACAAGCGGCTACATTCAGCTTTTTGTTTTCATGTTTCATCAGGGGCACATATTAAAGATGGGCACTTTAAAAATCTAGTTTGTCAGTTTTAAAATGCATAAAAATCAGGCTTCTGCCTCTGTTCCCATGTGTGAGCATATGCACTTTATCTCTGCAGAGCTTTCTCAAAGGCTGTCTGTAACAGAGCAAGCGCACAACTGGGTCAGCCCAGCCCAGCAAGTGGACTCTCCCTGTGGTGAAAGAACGCTACAGAGCTCAGATAATAACAGGCACAGGAAGGGGAACTTGGGAGGACTGCAAGGCAGAGCCAGGCCTACTGGTTACAGCTCAAGCAGTCAGTTCAGTGAGCTGTAGGCCGGCTCAGGACTTCTGAAGGACAACACGCCATTGTGGACCACACAGAGATAAAAATTTCACACCAGGGCACACATTTTTAAATAACGAGCCTTTTAAAGCATTGATATATTCGCTTCAAACAAAAAAACAAGACAAGTGTGGAAAACTAATTGGTTCTGCTTTCTGTGAAAACCGCCAATCGCACCAAGATTGTTTCCCTTCGCAGGCCTGAGTGAATGAAAGCTGCCCCTGTAGTTTTTAATTTTAAACATGTCGTCCCTCTATTACATCCACGAATACAAAAAAAAAAGAAGCTATAGGAAGAAAACAAGAAGTTTAAATGCTTCTTGCTTCCATGTTAAAAGAAAATGAAACAGGGCAACTGGATAAGATTGAAATGAACACCAAGCAGGGAAAAACAAAACTTTTACCTATAAAGCAAAATCAAATGGGGTGGTTTACATTCGCCAAAAAAATATCTTCCAGGACAGAAGTGTTTTTGAAGAGCAGCAGTACTTTGTGAATTCACCCAGAGTTCCTCCTCCGTGGCCAGGCGCCCCAGGAGAAAGGAAGGGTGAGGGGAGGTTAAAGGAGATAACCGCGGGGATCCCTGCGCAAATCCCACAGCCGCAGGTGGTCCCTGACGCATCCTGAAAGGACTCAACCCCCCACCCTGGCGGACTGAGAACTCCGGGCCCCGTGACTTTCATTCACTTGCATATTAGCACTGGAAACGCCAGCTAAGGTGAAGGATTTTAACTACAGAACCTGAAAAGAGCATTATCTCCAAGGCATTGAGATGTATATGTTCCCTCGCACTCCTGCTTAAAGGAAAAAATGCGCCGTTTGTGTCTATATTTGAACCAGAGTAAGTACAGGCCTAAGTCCTGTATAGGCCTTCAGCCTGCCTGCTGGAGAGGTCGTGCCCCTTTGAAGCGAATGAAGTATGCCTAAAGAGATTGAAATGCTCCTAATTATAATGACACCAACCATTAAACATTACTGTTTATGCTACCTGTATCATTCTGTTGTGTGCAGAATGAATCCTGAAGTTTACACATCCATTCAGTCTGCTTAAGTTGAAGAAAATGCTCCAATATTTACTAGGTAGTGCTTCACCTCGCAGCAGGACAGTGACCCAAAACAAAAACGGCAGGCAACCAGGGAGCTCACCAGGAGGACAAGGTTAAACATGTTGGACTGGTCATGTCGGTCACCCCTGGGACAGGCGGGAGCTCAAAATGACTACACTGAGTCTGGTGAGCTCACTGGGTCACAAACCTCATGTAGTGACTGACTAAAAGATGGATTACTTACTGACCAAGATACCCTAGAGGATATAGAACCAAATACTGACTCTTTCACCCTGAAATGTATTTAGAACTGAATCTAAACCAACAGTGCTGGTCACTTGAGATCACCGGGTTGAAATTTGGTTGGGTTGTTTTTGCCCCAATATGATCAAATGTATGGAATTAGCCCGAAGATTATACTGTACTTCTCACTGAATTAATCTCATGGACACAGTCAAATGGCTTTACTGTGGAGTAAAAATAACAGTTTTGACTTTTCTTCCCAGTATGTCTGTAGGACACTGTGTATAAATGTCTTGAGTCGCACTGAGGCTGTTCATAAAATCATCTCCAAAGCATCACAGTGTAAATTAGCTCAGACAAACAAGGAGTATTACTCACTTTTAAGACCAGCACTCCAGTGGCACATTGATCTCATTTTTTAAAACACAAATTTTTATTTTAACACATAAATAGGAAAAAATTCTCGTGTACAAAGATGAGCTGGAAGATACACATTTAAACAGTCTAAGTGAACTGCCCTGTTCATAAGCACATCAGCAAAACTCCACCTGGGCCTCCTAATAACCCCCATCTCTGAACTGGCTTCATCACCATGTTCTGCTCCCCACTGAGAGCTGCCCTGTGGTGAGTGTACTGTGAGCACAGTATGGGCTGCTGTCGCATCATCATGGTGGGGCTGCACACCGGTAGTGGAGGGGAGTCCCCATGACCTGTAAAGTGCTTTGAGTTGAGTGTCAAGACAAGCACTGATATAAGTGTAAGGAATTAATATTAGCAGCTCACCTCCCGCCTTATCAAAGTATGAAATGCAACAACTGTAAATGTTTTTGATAATAAAAGGTTTTAAAACATACATTTTATGCATTATCCTTGAGAAACTGCATAAACCAAATTTCCTTCACAGAGTTACACTGAACTGATTTAAATCCCAGCCAAACCCAACTGGAAGATTTACAGTTTGGAATTTACAACTTTCCTGCTCACTTAAGTCATAGTAGTAGTTGAAGAAGAACAAGAAGTACAATAATAATAATAACAATAACAATAGACTTTTATCCAAAGTGGCGTATTATACTGACTCTGAGTCA